TAGGTTAAGTGTAATATCGGCCCTTTTGATCTCCCTTTGACCCATTTTGAAGCTGTTTCAGTTTTTTTGTTTTTGTTTTTAAGTGAAGGGGAAATGCGCCCGTGGATCAAGGCCCTGGTGCATCCCCTCTGACCATGGACCAGGGATGCGAACAGCCTTGCTAACATGTAGAGTGCCTTGGGAAGTGGATTGTTGCAGATGCAGTTAGGTTAAAATTTCCTGATTTCAAACCATGCAGTATTCCCCTTTTGTGTTTGCACAACTGCCTTTTAATCCGTGTACAAGTTCTGCAGGATCATAATGAAGTGTTCTGGAATTCCCAACCTTCTCAAGGCTATCCATAGCTTGTTATGACCCACACAGTCAAATGCCCTGGCATAGTCAAAAAAGCAAAACAAGAAACACAGTGAACATCTTCCTAGCATTCTGCCTTACAGCCAAGCTCTGACATCAACAATGACATCCCTTGTTCCACGCCCTCTTGAATCCGGCCTGAACCTCTGACAGCATTCTCTCAATGTACTGCTGCAACCATTGTTAGATGGTCTTCAGCAAAATCTTACTTGCACGTGACATTAGTGCTCTTGTTCTATAATTTAAGCATTCTGCTGGGTCACCCTCAGTGGAATGACTACAGATAAGGATGGCTGCCAGTCGGTAGGCCAGGTAGCTGTCTTCCAACTTTCCTGGTATTGATGAGAGTGCTTCTAGTGCTTGTTGAAACATTTCAGTGAGTATATCATTGATTCCTGAGTGTTGCTTTTGGCCAATGCTTTCAGTGCAGCTTGAACTTCTTCCGGTAGTACCATTGGTTCTTGCTCATATGCTACCTCCTGAAATGGAATGTTGGCTCGTTCTTTTTGGTACCATGACTGTATATTTTTCTATCTTCTTTAGATGCTTCCTGGGTCTTTTAATATTTTTCCCATCGTCTTTTATTATTGCTACTTGAGGCTTCAATTTTTCTTTATTTCTTTCAATTTAGGATATGATGCATGCTATTACTTTTTGGTTTCCAACAGTAGGTCTTTGTACATTTTATCATAATATTTTACTTTGTCTTCTTGAACAGACCTTTGAAATAATCTATTCAGCTCTTTGACCTCATCATTTCTTCCATTTGCTCTACAATGAAGAGTAAGTTTCGGCTTCTCTTCTGGCGTCCACTTTGATCTTTTTTCTCTCTTTCTTTTAAATGACCTTTTGCTTTCTTCATTAAGGATGTTCTTGATGTCATCGGGTCTTCTGTCATTAATGTTCAATGTAGCAGATCTATTCTTGAGACGTTCTCGAAATTCAGGTGCGCAAGACTCACGGTTGTATTTGGGCTCTTGTGGTGTTGTAATTTTCTAGCGCTTCAACCTGAACTTACATATGAGCAATTGATGGTCTGTTCCACAGTCAGCCCTTGGTCTGGTGTTAGCTCCTGCTGCTGAGCCTCTCCATTGTCTCTTCCCACAGAGAGAGTCCATTGGTTTCTGTGTGTTCCGTCAGGAGCGGTCCATGTGCAGAGCCTTCTGGCACTATCTCGGGCAATGTTACGCTTCTGTCAAAAGGGTTTCAGTATATGAAAATGTTCCGATTGAAACAGAAAGCCAACGCTAGCCATAAGGCTTTCCGTGGCTAAGTCCTCAGAAGGGGACAGCCTACTCCTTCCCCATAGTTTGTTCTAAGTCTGGAAGCTCTGATGAAACATGTTCACTGTGGGTGACCCCATTGCTATTGGAAATACCAGTGACACGGCTTCCAGCATCACCGCGACAAGCCACCGCAGCACAACACAGAGAGACCAGCGGTGGCTCCCCCGCTTTCAAAACCTTAGAGTCAGATGAAGAAACTTTTCGCTCAGTGAAGCAGAGACTCCATCTATTGTGGAGGGAGACCGAGGTAACGGGTTAATTGAATTCAGGGAAATGAAGACGAAGAAGGGTAGGTCCTCATTTCAGATGTTGAAATCTGTATGGACAGAAATTCCAGAGGTGCTAAGACTGATATCTCATAGCACTTGTAAGAACGTAAAAAATAACAAATGAACTGGAGTTGCTTCTACCCAGAACTCTGCTGCAGGCAGGTCTTCCAAACCCTGCAAGGAGGGCTGGAGGGAGGGTGCACATGTTTCCACAGAGCTGCCCATACATCTGCATTCTCCTTGGCTAGTTTTGACTGTTTGGATTTTCTCTAGCTGAGATGAAATCTTGCATGGAAATTTGCCAACTGCCAATTTACAACGGTGTCACTTGAAATAAGATAAACACTTATTCTTTTGGCAGTATGTAAAAATAACTACCAAAAAAGAAAAAAGTCGGATTCCAGTTCCTAACCATTCCTTCTTTCCTCCCGCCCTCCTCCCCCTAAGCATTGCTTCTGAATCAAAAGGTATAACGTCCAGCTCGCTCCTTGATAATAGCTAGTGTGCAGGAGCCCTGGAGGAACAGGGGTGAAAGGCACTCGGGTAGCGGTTTCAAGCCCATGGGTGCCCCACGGGGGAAAGATGAGGCTGTCTGTTTCTGAAGCAACTGCCAGCCTTGGGACCCTTAGGAAGCAGTTCTACCGTGTCCTGCGGGTTCACCCTGAGTCAGAATCAACTCCCCAGCGGTGCATTTGATTTTTAACTTGCTCAGCATAAGCGGAAGTACCTCAGACTGTTACAATGAATGACTGATTGCTTAGATACATGATTACATTAGTTATGTAGTTACGTTAGGTTGTTTAGCCTACTATTGTGTCTTCTTGATTTCAGCCAACCAATAGAAATCTGAAAAATAATTGGTTCGTTAACCAGCTCCGTTTTGCACATGACACCAACTGATACCCCGTCACATTGACGCAGTGATATTGTAACGTAGGAGATGTATAATTTTTATAAATCATTTTGTTGGGGGCTCGTACAGCTCTTATCATAATCCATACATCCAGCCATTGTGTCAAGCACATTTGTA